TCTCATCCCACATCAAAGTTAAGAGCACTCGCCAGTACACGAAATCGTTCCAACTCTGCAGGCAAGAAATCGTTCTGAAGCAAAGTTTGCACACCGTCACTGATGTACAGTCTGGCCACAGCAGTGTCCTGCCATCTCCCAACTATCAAAGTCAAGCCCATGTTCTCGAACCTTCTATAATGAGTGGTGGCACCTCCACGGCGTAAAGAATATATCTGATATCCGTGCCGCTCCAGGTTCAACGACCTCAAGAGAGCTTTGAACACATCACGAAATTCGGGCACGGTGCCCTGCAGCAACGAGCTCTCAGGCGGCAAATTCTGAGTGAGCACTCTGATGAAGTGAACAATCCTGGCGTCGTGGAGTGCGACCGACTCCTCACAGTGTCGTCTCTTGCCTGCCTTGGTCACTGGCAAGGCTATGACAAGGCTGAGGCCGTCGTTGCTGAACTGCAGCTGCCACTTACGAAGAGTGAGAAGCTCCATTGTTCGCAAAAATACGGAGTAGCCAATCACAAGCAGCACCGCCACGTCATTTCGACTCCAGGACCGAGCCACCGTGGCAAGTGACATCAGCACATACTCGGGCATGGGTGGTGCTCGTTGTGGCATCTCAGTGCGTTGCCAAGCCTTCAGCAAGTTCCACGCACTGTGAAACACTCTCTTGCGTCGCAAGAAAAACTGTACGCCAGACAAAGTGGCCCCAGCATCTCCAGCAGGCCTCCCATGCGCCCATAGCGTCTCTATCCATTCACATAACTGAAAATCGAGCTGCTCCAGGTCAGTGGCCACGTCGATACCATGGGCACGAATCCAAGAGACAAAGCTTTGCACCATCTGACCATATCTGCGAAACGTACGAGGTTGAACTAGTGTGTGTGATAATCTGCCAATCGCGCGTCGTACCCGAATGCGGGACACCAAGTCTATCTCATAATCAATGCGACGCTTCCTCGGCATTGCTGTTACCTGACGGGCCGCCTTCCCGCGAGGGGTCGTCGGCTGGGTTCTTGTCCGTCTCGGTGTACCCGTAGATCGGTCTTGCCGACGCCGCCAGGACCAGAGCTGAGATCCTCTTGACGGCTGCGTTGAGCAGATGCGAGGAAGAGCGCCCCCGCGATATCACACCAAGTCCAACCTGCGAATCCATCAGATGAGCGAACCTCGTGCCAAGGTGATGGCCCACTCTGAAGCGCCAGCGAAGGCCTGCCAGCGTGCTCAGCACCTCCAGCGCCGTGATGTGGCTCTTCCACCTCCACTTCCAGACCAGCACTGTCTTCCACGTCCAGCGGCTCACGCTGATCGGGCGGCGTGGCCACAAGTCAGGGCGCATGACCTCCAGCGTGTCGAGGCGCACGTCCGAGCCCCTCACCTCAGCTCGCCGGATCAGCTCCTCCACGATCTGAATGCTTGGGTCCGCCTGCGCCTCGGCCTCTTCGAGGCCACGGTCCCTGATCACGACCCCACTGTCGTCGCCCTCCTTGGCCACCTGCACCAGGCCCTCAGCAGCGTCGAAGGCGCCTCCGACCGCGCGCGCCTCCGCTATCGTGGGGACCGTGTCCAGGTAGCCGCGTCGGTGAGCCCAGTGCGCCACTATCCAGGCCACCACACCACACTGGAACGAGTTGCCCAGCAGGGCGCATCGTACCACCTCGAGCTCAGCCAGCTTGCGGAATCGCGTGGCCCGCGCTGTCGCCGTGTGCCCAGGTGGAAAGTCCATCAACATCTCTCTCTCAAAGGAGTCCGCAGGCTCCAGCGCACCTCCTTGCCATCGAAGACAGTGAGGATCTCGAAACTGGTACGGCGCGTAGCAGAAGTCGTGCCTCCGCCAACGCTCCAGCTCGGCCTCGCTGCACTGGCGCAGGCCTTTCGGCTTGTCGCCGGCACGCCCGCGCGGGATGCACCTCACGAAGGTGGGCAGACGCTGCTCAGGAACCTCGGCTCCTGACCACTCTCGCCCAGGGCGCAGCCAGCGGCCCAGCGGGCCTGGACCTCCAGGGATCGTCACTTTCACCACCTCACTCTTCACACTGACTTCGCCCTGCCACGGCGTCATGAGGTCGGTGTCACACCAGTAGAGCCTCTCTCGGCGAACGTGTGAGATGTCGGCGGCATCGATCATCACCGGGGCCAGCCCCATGTGCTCTGACATCGCGTCGCGATCCTCGGCCGTTATGGAGGACACATTTTCGATCAAGTCGAACACCTCGACCTCCACGGAGAACACCTCCTTCACCAGCGACTTCACCCGCTTGATCTCGTAGAAGAGGCCCGACCTCGCTCCTGACAGCCCTCGCCTGTCGACGCTCAGCCTGGTGAGGTCCACGCAGGGAGCCCCAGCAAACAGGAGAACCCAGCGCACGTGAGGGGCCCTGTCCCGGATCTTGGCGATGTCCTGCGCGCTCAGCTTCGCGACGTCGCCCAGCTCCACCACGTCCGGCCACGCGTACTTGACCACGCGGCAGGCCTCTGGGTCCGTCTCCGACGCGGCATACACGGCCACGCTCAGCCCCAGCATGTCGAGGGCCCGCCTTCCACCTCCGATCCCGTCGAAGAGCGACAGCAGCACGCCCTCGTCCTGCAGCCGCCCCACCTGGCGTCTGCGAGAAGCCTTGGCTGCCTCAACGCCGTGTGGGAGCAGGCGCACAGCCCGGCATACTGCCCCCTTGCGCATGCTGGCGTCGGACACGGTGACGAGCCCGCTCACGGGCGCCCTGAGGTCGCACCTCATGAGCGGCAGGAGCCCCACGGCCAGCAGCAGCTCCCTCTGGACGGGAGCGGGCAACCTGCGCTCGCCTCTCCAGCGCACCACGGCACGCCACAGGCCGTCGAACACGGACATCGTCTCACGCCTGAACATCATTGCTCGCACCCAGCGGCCCGCCACCACCTGCAGCCAAGTCTGAGTCAGCACACTCCGATCTAGCGTGGCGAAGGTGAGGCCCAGCAGGCGGTACACGAACTCCAGGGGCGGGCTGATCACGCCCCTCGCGCCGTCAATGAGCTCACCCAAAACTTGACTGACAGGCTCACGGCACACTGCCTTATCCTCGCTCCTGGGCACGCCCCGCTGCGCGTACCTCTCGCAAGCCAGCTGCACCACCTCGGGGGGGCCCTGTGCCTTCAGCGCCGCCGCGGAGACCTCGTCGGTAACCTCCAGCACGTCCAGGTTGTCGATGTACACCTGCCACACTACCCAGCAAGCCGTACCAGGACCCTCCGGCATGAGCGTGTCTACTCCTCTCGTCGCCTTCGGCACCGTCTCCGACCACACCTTGACCAGCACGTCCCCGTGGCAGCGCTGCCCTCGCCTGCAGTGGCACAGGAGGCGACAGCCCGAGAGCTCGGGCAAGCAGGCCAGCAGATCGGGCGAGTCGCGCAGGTGGCTCTCGTAGTTCGCGATGGCCTCGCTCCTCGGCATCATCTTTGACACCTTGAAGGGGTTCGCCCACTTGGAGGGGGAGAAGCCGTACCGCTGCCCTGTGCGACCGATGTACACCTGTGGGCGCTCGTCGTCGTAGGATTGGCCCAGCTCGCCTCGCACCGGCGGCCTCGCCTCGCCCTGAGAGACCACCGAGCCCCTCTCACGATGTGGAGGCAGAGGAAGGTCACGCCGCAATTCACGGTCCTCAGGCAGCGGAGGCACTCCCTCCAGCCACTCACGAAGCAGCCGCCGGTGGATGTGCTGGATGATGCCTGTCGCCGACACCCAGCCCATCGGGATCACGGCCGCGGCCACGTGCACCTCGCCGGTCCCGTCAAGACCGAGGCAGGACCTGCTCACCTTCTTGGAGAGCGCCATGTACTTGTGCCACACCGCGGGCAACCGGTACACGTAGAAGCAGCACTTGAGGTCCTCCGACGAGCTCATCATCACCTCGCCGCTCCTCAAGATGATGCTCTTCCACTTGTCTGTCGTCGGGAGGAGACCCATGTCCCCCTGGACCGTCTCCTGCATCCAGTTGCTCGGGATGATGTTCATCACCAGCCGCTGCGGCCCCGAGCCTTTGACGTGTCCCGACTTTCGTACACCAAAGAGGCCGCCCAGCACGCGACGGCCCTTGACCTTCACGATCTCGTCGGCCTCGATCGGGACGAGGATGCCCCTGTTCACGAGCTCGGCCGCGATGAGCTCCCACTCGTCATCCTCGGCCCAGACGCGCGGGGTCTTGGGCATCTCGCCCAGCTCCGCGGGGCTCTTCATCACCCACTCCGGGTGCTCCAGCACGCTCCTTATCCAACCTTCGCTCACCTCGGTCGCCAGCACCGAGCCGCAAGCCTCCTTCGGCGGCAGGGCGAGCAAGAGGCGCTCGCGGTCCAGCTGCTCGGCTGGGTACACCTCCATGCCCGTGTAGCTCACTGCCGACGACTTCAGCTCCTGGGTCCAGTCGAGGTTCGCCACGGAGCCCTCGTACTGGCACAGGAACGTGCCCACACTCCTGGCCAGCAACCTCAGGGCCTTCAGCTGCACCGCGCTGGCGGGCCCGTGCCTCACCTTCCAGGGGGCCATCTTGAGACCAGGGTGCTTGCCCCCCAGCGCGTACTGGAAGTTCAGGCTCAGGACAGCGAGCTTCAGCCAGCCGTTCAGGTCGTCCTCGAAGGAGGGATCGACTGGCTTCGATTCGCCGAACACAACGCCGTTCATGCTCAACTCCTCGATCGTCAGATCGACGCAGGGCAACGGCAGCAGGTCACGCCGTCCGTTCCCTGCGGTCAGTGGTGAGAGGATATCATCGTACGACTTCGCATCAAAATTGCCAAGTGCCCCGCTCGACGCGGGCGAAGAAGTACTGAGATCAGCAAGACGGCGACCCACAACACGAACTGGAGCTCCACAGAGACTGCCCAGCTCACTGGCGGCGCGCGTCTGGTTCAAGTAGGGAAAGTCGTGAATTCGCGTGGACGGCTCGTCCGAGACTGCGCCATGAGCGGCGCCGTTGCACTCATCCTCAAGGTACGAGGAGAAGGTGATCTCGGACTCCCAGCTGCCGTCGGACGCGCAGTCACACGCCTCTCGAGCGCCCTCGAAGCTCATGCATTCTACTTCCGATTCTTGTTGGGCCTCTTGCCCTGGCCCTTGTCCTTGCCCTTGCCACGGGCCTGACCCTTCGTGCCGCCCTTGCCCTTCGGGTTCCACGAGCGCCAAGGTGGCGTCCCGCGGTGCTGCCCTTTGTCGCCCTTCGGCTTGCCCTTGTTGCCAGCCTTCGCCTCCGTGGTCACGTCGTCCTCGAACCTCACGCGACGAATAGGGCTCGAGGGTCTCCGAAGGGCCGGCTTGCGATCCACTCCGGGGCTGATCGAACCAGGTGCTGGCCGCCAGTGTGGCGACGGGCTCCTCGGGCTCCCCGATCTCTCGCCAGCGCCTGTCCCGGCTGCCGGGCTCGGCGACGCTCTCCTCACTGCCTCGACAGCGTCCCCGCGACCGCGACCTCGCCCTCGGCCGCGTCCACGCCAGAGCTTCGCCCTCCACCTGTCCTTCCTCGATCCGGGCGTCGGCGCACCCTTCTCCCCCTGTGCTCCAGGACTCGATATCTGTGGGGGCGGCGGTGCGGGAGAGGGCGTCCTGGTGCGCCCACCCTCTCCCTCGCCGAGTCCCTAGGGGGGCCTCCTCGCGCCCGCTCGAGTGAGGCGCTCCTTCAGCTTCGCGCCCTCCGAGTAGGACGCCACGGCCGCCGACGCCTCGGCGCTGCTGGCCAGCCCGATGTCGGTGGAGTCGATCAGCTCGAGGTGCTCGGCCACCTTCCAGTGCCCGTCCTTGGTGGCCTGCTCGATGGCCTTCAGCCTCTGCATCAGCATGTCGCCCAGCTGCGGCAGATCGCCCCTCGTGAGGGCGTCCAAGCACTCCCCGATCATCCTCATCTCGCGCACATTCCGCACCCCCATCTCGCTCTGAGGGTGCATGCCGTGCCGCACGCTCGTGATATACTGCACCACGTTGGACGCCATCCTATCCAGCTCATCATCGTTGTCGGCCCCGCCCCGCTGCGCCAAGTATTCACGGATCTGCTTCAGACCCGCCGCCATGAGCGCCCCGGGGTCGGAGCGGGCCAGCTTCTGCACTCGGCGGCCGGAACCAGCGGTCGGGGCCTCGTCAAAACTCGCACTGTCAGAGCTATCCTTGTCCCTGTTCTTCTGCTTCTTGCGGCTGCGGCGGCCCTCCAGCGCAGCCTCGGCGCGCTCGGCCAGCGCCTCGCCTATGGAGCGCTTCCTCTGAAGCTTCTCCTTCAGCCTCTTGACGATCTTCCTCATCTCCTCGGCCGTCTTGCCATCGGCGTCCTCACCGTCGGCACCGCCTGAGCCCTTGGGAGCTCCACCTGCGTTCTTACCTGGCACCACTGGTCCTGCGTCAGCGGCGGGCGGCGCAGCGCCTGCAGGGAGGGCGCCAGGCGGGGCAGCTCCAGCGCCATCAGCGGCTCCGCCTCCAGGCCCGGCCGCCCCCAGCACGCGCAGCGTGTCCGAGTGCACCACGTTGCGCCCTGGCCAGGCGGTCGTGCGACAGCACGTCGCCACGCCCTGGGTGCAGAGGTGCACCACGCTGCTTCCCATCGCAAAGATGCCCTGCAGGATCGGCAAGTAGAGAGGGTCGCTGCTGCTCTCCACTGCGCACTCCACGAACTCCCCTGCCGCGTCAGGTGGGTAGAGCCCTGTCACTGTCATCGTCGTCGTCCCGCTTGGCTGACAGGCAGCATCGTACATCACCAGCTCGACGCGGCAACCGGCACTCAGCCCCAGGAGGCCGTGGGTCACTGCCTGGGGCGCCATGGGCACGTATACCCAGGGACCAGCCTGCTGCGCCGCCGCCGCGACCCCCGCCACCGCTGGCTGGGCGAACGCTGCTCCGAACTGCGGCAGCGCCCCGCCCGCCACGGGCATGCCTGCCTGCCAGCCCAAGGGCACAGGCGCGGCGGCGGCTGGCACCGCGTGGGCGGCCTGCCCTGCCACGGCGAGGCCGGCTCCACCCCCAGCGTGAGCGGGTGGCCCCACGAGGGCCACCCCGGGGATCCCTGGGATCAGACCCGGCACCACGGGGCCCCCCATGGCCGCTGGCGCTCCTGCTCCAGCGCCGGCACCTCTGCCGCGTCCTGCAGCGGGCGGCGGGGCGGCAGGCGGCTTGCCCATGCCGCCCATTGGGCCGCCCATGCCGCCCATGCCGCCCTTGCCGCCCATCCCGGGCTTCGCCGCCGCCTTGCCTCCGCCTCCTGGTGCTGCGGGGCCGGCGGCGGCTCCGCCCGCGGCCGCGGCAGCTCCAGCGGCCACTCCGGCAGGCGGCGGCGGAAGCAAGGCGCCGACGCCAGGCGGCAGCCCCAGAAAGCCGCCCAGCACTCCGCCGCCGCCGACGCCGAGGAGCCCCCCACCAGGGCCCAACCCAGGCGGGCCAGGCGGGGCGCCCGCGCCAGCCCCCGCGGCGCCGAACATCGCCACCGCCGTGCCGCCGCCGCGGCGGCGCGGGCAGGCGAGCTTCCCCAGTCGCCGAGGGGGAAGCTCAGTCGGGCGCGGGCTCCTCGGAGGGGGTCATTCTGGGGACCCCCGCACCCTTAAGCCGAGGCGGCTACGGAGAGGCGGTTTAGAGGAGATCGCTTCGAGGACGGAGGGGGGACGAGATAAAACCCATGAGAATCTCAAATATATATATATATATATATATATATATATATATATATATATATACATATGTGCGAACGGTTCACGTACGTCTGACCCTGAGTACTCTCGTGACACTGAGCGTGGCCGCCGCCGGAAGCTTCCCCTGGAACCCCGACAGCAGCGCCCGCACGCCGCGACGCCCATGTCAGCACGCTTCTCACGAGGATCGCGCCCGCTTCCTTCCCGCTCTTTCTCTCCCTCTTTGCCCGTGCACGCCCATGTCCAAGGCTGCGGGCGCGGCGCCGCACGGAGTCCCCGCGACGCGCGTTGGTCGCCCCGGAGGGGTCCCGGCGACGCGCGCGGGTCGTCCGCTGCGCGAAGCAGAGGATGCTAGCTGGCTGGGGGGCGAGCGAGGCTCTGGGCAGAGCACAGCGCGGAATTCCCGCGACGCGCGCTGGTCGCCATGCAAACTGCGCCACTGCGACCTTAGGCGGAGCTCCCTGTGGGGCCACGAACCGTGTGAGGGATGTGCCAAAATGGGGCGGCGGCGCCATGCGAACTGCGCCACTGGGACCTTAGGTGGAGCTCCCTATGGGGTCACGAAACGACTGAGGCGTGTGCCAAAATGGGGCTGCGGCGCCATGCGAACTGCGCCACTGGGATCTTAGGTGGAGCTCCCTATGGGGCTGCGAAACGTGCGAGGGGTGTGCCAAAATGGGGCGGCGGCGCCATGCGAACTGCGCCACTGGGACCTGAGGTGGAGCTCCCTGTGGGGCCACGAACCGTTTGAGGGATGTCCCAAAATGGAGCGGCGGCGCCATGTGAACTGCGCCACTGGGACCTGAGGTGTGGAGCTCCCTGTTGGGCCACGAAACGTGTGAGGGGTGTGCCAAAGTAGGGCGGCAGCGCCATGCAAACTGCGCAACTGGGACCTTAGGTGGAGCTCCCTCTAGGGTCACGAAACGTGTGACAGATGTTCCAAAATGGGGCGGCGGCGCCATGCAAACTGCGCCACTGCGACCTTAGGTGGCGCTCCATATGGGGCCACGAAACGTGTGAGGGGTGTGCCGAAATGGGGCGGCGGCGCCATGCGAACTGCGCCACTGGGACCTGAGGTGGAGCTCCCTGTGGGGCCACGAACCGTGTGAGGGATGTACCAAAATGGGGCGGCGGCGCCATGCGAACTGCGCCACTGGGACCTTAGGTGGGGCTCCCTATGGGGCCGCGAAACGTGTGAGGGGTACCGAAACAGAAACATTATGAAGGCAGCGGCAAGGACTGGGAGAAGGGATGAGGGGGAGGAGGGAGCAGGAGGAGGAGGAGGAGGAGGAGGAGGAAGAGGCGGGAGGGAGGGAGGGAGGGAAGGACGCGGGGCAAAACGAGGACCCAACACCACAGGATGGTTGGGAAAAATGTTCGGGGAGACGTAAGACTCGGGTACGGGGGACTGGGGTTGGCCCGACGGGGCCATCATAAAAATGACGAGGCTCACTCTGAAATTTGACGCGAACTCCCGCTGCGAACATCCCGCGAAAACTGGACCGTTAAAATCCAGGACGCGCTCGTCAAAAAACGTGGGCAATTTCGAGTTCCGGCTTACTCAAGTCTTACGTTTCCCCGACATTTTCCGATTCCCCACCGGCCAGTCGGCCAATCGGCCAGTCGGCCAGTCGGCCACTCGGCCAGGCGGCCAATCGGCTGGTCGGGCAATCGGGCAGTCGCACACTCGGCCAGTCGGCCAGTCGGCAAATCGGCCAACCGGCCGGGCGGCCAGGCGGCCGTTCGGCTAGCCGGCCAGTCGGCCAGTCGGCCAGCGGGGGAAGCGCCCAGTCGGCCAGACGGGGAGTCGGCCAGTCGACCAATCGGCATATCAAAGAATTGGTCAAATGGCCAGTCGGCCAATCGACCACTCGAGGATTCGACAAGTCGGCCACTCAGCCAATCCGCCGAACAGCCAAACCGCCAGCCGGCCAGTCCGACAATCAGCCAGTTGGCCAGTCGAATAGTCGGCCAATGGGCCAGTCGGCCAATCGGCCATTCGGCTAGTCGGCCAATCGGCCAGTCGGCAAGTCGGCAAGTCGGGGGGTCGACCGGTCGGCCAGCCGGCAAGTAAGCCAATCGGCCACTCGGGGATTCGAGGATTCGGGGAGACGGGCAAACGGCCAAACGGCCAACCGCCCAGTCGGGGAATTGGCCGGGCGGCTAGTCGTTCAGTCGGGGAGCTGGCCAGTCGGTCAGTCGGCCAGTCGGCCAGTCGGTCAAACAACCAATATCAGTCGGTCAATCGGCCAGTCGGCCGGTCGGCCAGTCGACCATTCGGCCAGTCAGGGGATCGGCTAAACGGCCAGTCGGCCAGTCGGCCAAACGTCCACTCGGCCAATCGGCCAGTCCGCCAGCCAGCCAGTCCGCCAGTCGGCCAGTCGGCGAGTCGGCCAGTCGGCCAATCGGCCAATCTTTCAGTCGGCCAGTCGGCCAATCGGCCAGTAGGCCAGTCCGCCAGTCGGCCAGTCGGCCAGTCGGCCAGTCGGCCGGTCCGCCAGTCGGCCAGTCGGCCAGTCCGCCTGTCGGCCAGTCGGTGAGTCGGCCAGTCGGCCAACTGGCTAATCGTTCAGTCGGCCAGTCGGCCAGTCGGCCAATCCGCCAGTCGAGGAATCGGCCAATCGGCCAGGCAGCAAATCGGTCAATCGGCCAGTCGGCCAATCAAACAGTCGGCAAATCGAGCATTCGGCCAGTCGGCCAAACGAAACCCACAATTCGACCATTCGGCCAGTCGGATTCTCGGCCCATCGGCTTCTCGGCTTGTCGGCCAATCGGCCAATCCGCCAGTCGGCCAGACGGCCAAATTAGCCAGACGGCCAATCGGCCAGTCGGCCAATCTTGGAATCGACCAGTCGGCCAGTGGGGGAGACGGCCAACGGGGCCAATTCGGCCATGGAGCCATGAGGCAACGAGGCCAGTCGGCAAATCGGCCAATCAGCCAGTCGGCCAGTCGATTAATCGGCCAGTCGGCCAGTCGGCCAATCGGCCAATCAGTCGGCGGCCAGTCGGTCAGTCGGCGAGCCGGCCAGTCGGCCAGTCGGCCAATCGGCTTGACGGCCACTCGGCCACTCGGCCAGTCGGCCAGTCGACCAATCGGCCTGTCGGCCAGTCGACCAATCGGCCTGTCGGCCAGTCGGCCACACGGCCAAACGGCCAGTCGGCCAAACGTCCACTCGGCCGGTCAGCCAGTCGGCCATTGGGGCCAATCGGCCAGTCGGCCAAACGGCCAGTCGGCCATTCGGAGGGTCGGCCAGTCGGGCAAGTCCGCCCGTCGGCCACTCCGCCACTCGGCCAATCGGCCAATTCACCAATTGGCCGATCGGCCAATCGGCCAATCAGCCGATCGGCCAATCGGCCAGTCGGCCAATCGGCCAATCGGCCAGTCGGCCAATCGGCCAGCCGGCCAGCCGGCCAGTCGGCCACTCGGCGAGTCGGCCAATCGGCCAATCGGCCAATCGGCCTGTCGTTCAATCGACCAGTCGGCCAGTCGGCCAATCGGCCAGTCGGCCAGTCGGCCAAGCAACCAATATAAGGCGGCCAGTTGGCCAATCGGCCAGTCGGCCAATCGGCCAGTCGGCCGGTAGGCCAGTCGACCAAACGGCCAATCGGCCAATCAGCCAGACGGGGAGTCGGCCAATCGGTCAATCGGCCAGCCGTCCACTCGGACGGTCCGCCAGTCGGCCAGTCGGCCAGTCGGCCGGTCGAACAGTCGGCCAAGGAGCCAGTTGGTCAGACGGCCAAATTAGCCAAACGGCCAAACGGCCAATCGGCCAATCGACCAAGTCGGCCAGTCGGCCAGTCGGCCAGTAGGCCAGTCGGCCAGTCCGCAAGTCGGCCAATCGGCCAGTCAGCCATGTCATGTCGGCCAGTCGGCCAAAAGGGGAGTCGGGCGGCCAGTCGGCTCATCGTCCACTCCGCCAAATGGCCAATCGGCCAGTCGGCCGGTCGGGTAGTCGGCCGGTCGGGGAGTCGGCCAATTGGCCATTCGGCCAATCTGCCAGTCGGACAGTCGGCCAGATCGGCCAGTAGGCCAGTCGGCCAGTCGGCCAATCGGCTTGTCGGCAAGGTCGGCCACTCGGCCAGTCGGCCAGTCGACCAATCGGCCTGTCGGCCAGTCGGCCACACGGCCGGTCGGCCAGTCGGCCAGTCTGCCAGTCGGCCAGTCGGCCAGTCGGGGAGTCGGCTTGTCGGCCAGGGCCGGGGGGGAGTCAGATAGTCAATCCTGGTGCCCTGCACATGTTCCGAATGCCCTGGTCAAGCCGCCGAGAGAGAGGATGGGCCCTTCTTCACTACTGGACAATTGGTGGCACATCTAAATAATTGTTTGGATGTGCGAAGCACCGGCAGCCCTCGGCAAACCGCTACCATACGTCAGCCGCCCATGGCCTATAGCGGTGAAAATGAAATACCAGGCCCCCGACGTCATGAGCGTTTCATCGCGTCGACCCCCCAGGGGCTCGCCTCACTCCTTGGGACCAGCTTTTCATCCTGAGTCGTTTCGTTCGCGGTCCCGAGGCCCGAAAGTCCAAAAGCGCGAGACGCCTTCCGTCGTGCGCTCTGCCCGCAACTCGAGGGGCATCTGGGAAGAGGGACGCGGAGTGCGGCCGCACCAAGGGTGCAGCGGCAGACGAGCAAGAAAAGAGCCGGCAGGCCCCGCCCAAGCGTGAGGGGCAACGCCAGGGGGGGACTGACACAGGGCGGCAAACATCGACCTGGATTCGGCGGAGGAGGAGGAGGAGGAGGAGGAGGACGACCGGGGGGGGAGGAGGAGGAGGAGGAGGAGGAGGAGGAGGAGGAGGAGGAGGAGGAGGAGGGAGGAGGAGGAGGAGGAGGAGGAGGAGGAGGAGGAGGAGGAGGAGGAGGAGGAGGAGGAGGAGG